GCATACCTCGGGGACACATGCCTGCCTCCCTCCCTCCCACCTCCCTTTCTTATGAAAATGATCCCAGTTGCACTGATAGATAATAACAACACCAAGCAATTAAAAGCTATGGGTGGCTGGAGAGAGGAGAAAAGGTTCAGTTAATGAGCTTTTCCTTTTCCTGTGCCCAGGAGAGCCTCAGAAGTGACGAGGCGATTAAAGCGAAGAGATAATTATAGATTATGTGAAAATGGGTCCCTTGGGGGAGAGGGCCTTGACATAAACAGTAGCTGTTGCAAGTGTCTCCTGGCTCCATGCTTGCCTCCTGTGCTGTGCTTCATTGAGTTTCAGTATGCTTGGCGGCACTGTGCCAAGCAGACGGGCAAAGCCACCTGTTTGCAGCACACAGGCCCTTCCTGGGCAAGGTGGCATTCTTCAGCCAAATCCTTCTGCACAAAACCATTTAGGATCAATCCAAAGAAAGGGAAAAGGTTGCTGATAGTGATGGAGCATAGGCATCTGTTCACTGCTTTGTTTTAAAGGTAAAGAAAATAATTCCTTTCCCTTTTCTTTTTAAAATTTAGAAATTAATGTATTTTTTTTCTCCCTACCTTGCCTTTCCTGGAACTCTCCGTGAAAGACTAAAGAGCCAGTTGGTTTAAAATGGTAAAGTTTGAGAGAAATTAAGGTCTAATTGATTAGCAGTATTTAAAAACTAAAGCTACTTCAGAATCTTTGGTTTAAAACTGTTTAACTTGCATATTCTGTGTGGGTGGAAGGAAGGATCTGTCCATTCAAAATTCAGTTTACCTTCAGTTAAGGTTCAAGGAAGCCCTGATTCCAGGTCTGCTGCTTCCAGTGATTTCAGCAAAATGGAGGCGAACTGGACTTCACATTCCTCTTCCAGAGCTATTGGCAGAGAACAGAGAAACATTTTTGGCTACTGTGTTTGTCTGCAGGGAACAAAACCTTTCAGCTGTCATCAAAAAACCCAAAAAAGCCAAGGGGACAGACACAGTTTTCCCTCTTGGTAGGTGATCTTTAAATAAAATACTAATTCTACTTCTCCTTTACGTTGGGTCAGTAAAATGCAAAATGGATTATAGCACTATAGAAATAATCTATAAAGGAAACAAAACAAGATTTGTCTTTTCACATCTTTTCTATCTTCAGTACATTCCTATTTCTCTTTAATAATAAACCTTATATATTTCATTAGCTTGAAGTTTTGTGGTCTTTACCATTTGCAGATATCTTAAATAAGACAGATAACATTTATGTTTTAACTCAGTTTTGGTCAAAGTCATTTGATAGAGGTAATCATTTTAAATCTTCTTTTTTCCTTCAATGCCATGCAGACAGCAGCCTTACAGTGTTCCCCAGCTATCTCTTCCTCTCTGCTGCTTATTTTTTAGCTTCTGTTGAATCCATCACAAAGGGGTTTCTGAGCCATTTGCAGAATATCCACCAAAAATTGGGCTGGTAATATCTACATATTACACAATACTCTGGCAAACACTGTTTTTCATTAAGATAAATCATTAGGAAAAAAATCTCCCTCATCATTCCAAGGTTCTCTGCCTGGGGCTCTCGGTATTTTTTTAGCTGTGTCTTGAGCAGTCTTAATTGTTATACTACAGATTGATAATATTAGTCTTCATCTCTTTTGAATCAGATTGGGAAAAGACTATTCTGTTAATCTCTTAAGAACTCAGTTTCTGGAAATCCAAAGATACCTATATTTACTTCCTGTGTGTCAGTATGTGTATAAGCATGTAAGGTTGGACCTGCTTTTCTAAAATTTCTGAAGTCAGATTGGGTTCCTTGGAACTGAGCTTTTATTTTTTGATGGTGGGGGCTTTGAGAGAAGTAGTGGTCCATGATTGGTACAGCTGTGTTGGCTACACCTCAGGCTTCTGCCAGAGTTATGCTGACAAAACTTCTTTTTTTCTGAGAGCTTGTTTCAGTCATGGGATGTTTTTACCCATGCCAGCATGAAGCACACTTGCTAGTATAGCTATGTGCATTAGTACAAGTGCTTTACAAGTTAAGATGTTACTATTCCTGGTATCCTATATAATACTAGCAACTGTACTCTACATTGTTCTGGTTTATCTTGGTTCAGATAAAAAATACACCAGTTATAATGATCAGGGGTACAAGTTTTCTAGGCTAGACCCCTTTTCTTCAGTTATAGGAGAAGAAGGGAGTTTCATAAAAAGGTATGTACTCTTGAGTACTGTTGAAGCGATGTAGCCATGATGGTCCAGTAAGTGTGCAAGAGGCAAAGATTTCTGTATTTGATTTTTTTTTTTTTTTTTATTGGACCAACTTCATGGTTGGGATAGATTTAAACAGTATTTTCAGGTACAACAGTACCCTTCCTTAGGTCTCTAGGAAAGAAGACAATACAGACAAGCCAAACAGGTGTGACAAAGGTTTGTATAAAACTCCATATGTAAACCTCTAGGTTAATATCTCTAAGTTTTAGTAGCAGAATGTAAACAGATAGTACTTATTTATGCTACCAGCATTTTTCCCATATTCTCATTTCTGTTGAAGCCACAGTTCTGTTGCCAAGGGCTTCTCTTCATCCCTCATTGGATGGCAAGGATCATCATCTTTAGTTTCTGCTTCATTTTGTTAGTGTTTATCTTAGCCTTCCAAGGCAAAGTAAGGTCAGTGCACTATTCCCAAATAAGATAAGTTCTTTTGTATTTTGATAACATGGAGTCAGTCTTCCTGAAATTGTTTCGTCACATTCTGCATCCAATTTCTTCCTGTTCTAATAAACTCCCTGTTGGTTGCGAACCTACTCCAGCAAGTTCTTCATTCTCATAGAAGATTTTCTTCAGGACTATGAACTGTGGGTTCTGCTGTTCGTCTAGGTCAATGGTTCTCAAACTTTTTAGACTTCATCCCCCCTCAGTCCATAACTTTTCTAAATATAATGCCACCCCATTTAAACTTTTATTTATTACAGTGCTTTTCTCTTTACACAGGGGCCAGGCAGCGGAGAGGGCAAAGGGAGGAGAGGGGAAGAGTGAGTGCTTACCTCTTCCACCCACATCACCCTCCTTAAGATTTTGAGACAACCCAATTGAGACTTACTGCTCTAGATTAATCATATACTGTGGCATAATAGAACTGAGTTACAGAAAATCAGAATGCACAGTGGGAGAGCTAACCAGATGCTTTTCTTAAATTGTGTGACACTGTTATGCATTTTGTAATGGAGAGGTTACTTTGGCCTCCTTACAGATTTTTTTTTCCCCCCCCACTACAACTGTTTTGGTTTGTTGTAATTTTTTTCTTTTTTTACCAACAAAATACTTAGAGTTGGTAACCTCTTAGTGAAAAGAGTTATGGCAGTGTAAAGGGGTCTTAAATTGGTGTAGCGTATCCCTTTTTACATAAGAGAATAAGCTATACTTGTATAGGCATTTGTGTACTGACATAACCGCAGCTATACTGGACCTTTATACTTCTGTAACCAGACCAGTCCTGTTAATCTGGTAGAACTTTTGTGTGTTGACACAGCTTTTGTGAAATCCTTGAAAGTCCATAAAGGCTGAGGACTGGTGTTTTATTTTACTTTCAGTCAGTCCACAAACAATCACTTAAACTCTTGTCCAGGGTCAGATTGACATAAAGCTTGTATTCATATCTCAGAGCACCGGGCTGAAATTTGATGAGGGGCAGCCTGTACAGCAGTTTGCAGATACACATTCATTCAGTCCTGTTCTCCTGCTGGGAAATTGGCAGATTAAGGTGCTGCAGATGTTGGAGTTAAAAATGGATCTTTTAGTGAGGAGTGATGCCGTGCTCTGTTGCAACATGTTAAACCTTCTGTTTTTACCAGCCAACATGAAACAACATCTTTAACATAAAGGTAACAAGACATTTTGTAGACGTTGTATATAAGATCCCTTATGACATCATGGAACAGCTTTATCATGCCCAGCAGTGTAGCTTGTATGCTGGAGGATGACAGCTGGGTCTTCAGTGTGCATTAGACTTAGAGAGATAAATGTTCTTAGTAATGGTTTTAGATTTATTTGTGCAACTCCCATTGTGCCTCAGCAGGATTTGCAGGTAAAATCTGAAATCCTTATACCACATCCCTTTTCAAACTTCACCCCAAAGGATATGTTACCATAACATTAAACAGTGTTTGAGCACAACTGCACCAGGCATGATCTCACTTAGTGTTCTGAGTTCAGCAACCCCTCCCGGGAGCTTTGGCAAGGGCAGTACACCTGGTTCTTTAGGAGAGTGAAGGATCTTTAGTGCTGCCTTGAATAATCTCTTCTTATTCGAACACACACATGTGCACACACACTTGCCCACCCACCCACCTCTGGATGGAATAATAGAATAGTATTAAAATAGTTTGAATCTCCTTGCTAATAACTCTTTTTGTTTGTAGAGAACTGTCTATGGATGGAGGCTCTTTTCTGAGATATCCAGTGTTTCTGCTGTGCTTCTGTGATGTTCCGAACACTCGAACCTCTGCGGAGGAATCTGGCAAAGAGGAAACTGATTCTGAAGAAGATTTTATAGATATAGATATATTTCTATATCTTTGCCACTATTTATGCGAAAGGAAGACTAAAAAAAAGTGAATGAAAGTTGAATGAAGGCTTTCCTACATATATAAGGGGAGGGACCAAATTTAGCCTTACTTTCATTTGCAGGGTTTGCAATGACTTATGCCTGGGATGAGTTTGTCTTGTATAGCCTAACTTTCTGGATTCCTTATGGAAGTTTATTAGTGTAAGCAAAGTCTCTCTCTTTCTCTTGTACAATGTTGTTCAAACTAACTTTTACTTTCTAGGGAAACAGGCTGTGCTGTCTTGTCTTTGAGAAACATTATTCTGCATGACAGCTTTGGAAATCTGTTCCACTCCAGTGAGGGTGTTGAAATTAATGCATCTGCAAGTAAAGGTAGCATCTAATGTGTGTAGTTTGTGTGTTACATAGTAAGACAACATCTTTTCCCACTTTTGTTTCCTAATTAGGGAGGAGGACAAGAACATATTTGATTACTGCAGAGAAAACAACATTGACCGTGTAACTAAAGCTATCCAAGCCAAAAAAGTGGATGTGAATTTGAAAGATGAGGAGGTATGAGAAGAAAAGCATATGTTGATCCTTTGATGGTTTTGCATGTTAATTCATGACCCTAGATTTTTTTTTTTTAATTCCTGTTTTAGAATTTTTATAATCCAGGTACTAAATATTTGATCAGACATCTATTAATTGAGGCAGCAGTGTAATCCATCCAAGCAAATAATACCACCTTGCTAGTTTTAACTAGGTTTCTGGTGGATGGACCACTAAAAATAACAGCATAACAGAACCAGGAAGTTTCCTTTTTTCCTATAGATCTTGGCAACACTAGCACATTGGGGTCCCGGGGTAGCCATGACGCCCCCTGGTGGCTCTGTGACCATGGCTCACTCTGCCCATAGGGTGCCCTCCCTTCTATCTTGTCTGCCATGCCTTGATGTTCCTTATGATTCTAAAAAAGAGGTTGCCCCTAGGCTTTTGCATGGGCCCCAGTTTGGCTGAATCCCTGCTAGGGTTTCCCAGCATCCTACTGTTCTTCACTATTCCCCAGGCCCCTCTCTGGACCTCATTATTCCTCAGGCCCCTCACTGGGCCTCACTCTATAACAGTGCCACCGCAGGGCACTTCAAGCCTTAGGGACTAATTGCATGGCTCCAACCCTTCCTTATATCACTCCCCAAGCCTCACAGGTGTTATGGTAACACTGTTCTCTTGTTGGGGGTTCGGGATCCCTGACATCCACACCTGTACTCTCAGTTAGGCCTTCTAGCCTAGGCCCACTGTATCAGACCTGGCTTTGAGGCACTAGCTTTGGTTTGGCCCTTTCAGACACCAGACCCCTGGTCCCTGTCTGCCTCTCTGGTCTTATACTCTGCCCACTCCAGGCTCTACAGGTGCTCATGCCTTGAGCCGGTCTCTGGCAGAGCTCAAGGTGATCATGTGCCCCTTGAGCACTAATGGGACCTCTGTATACCACCCCTACAGTCCCAACCCAAACCGCCAGTGTAAAACTGTAACTCAAACCATAAGTCCCTGAGCTATAACAGAAACACCAAAGGGGAAACGAGCCCTCTGCCCCTTTAAGAGGGAAAACCTTCCGTTCCCTTTCTGTGCTGGCAAACCTCCCAGGTAGGGCTCCCAAGCCTCACTGTTCCTGCAGGCAACAGAAAAGTCAGTCTAGCAGCCCTGGGTAGCTCTCCTGGGCTGCAGCTCCTAACCCTGCAGCTGGCAGGGCTACACTCCCTGACTTACTGGGGCTCTGAGCTTATATAGCTCCAGCCTGAGCCCTCTTCCAGTCAGATGAGCCTCTCATTTGCTCCCTGCACCACCTGCAAACAGTATCGCAGGCTGCTAGCTCCCTTAAAGGAGCAGGCACACCCCAGTGCCCTGCTACAAGTGCCAGCTGGGGTTTGTGAAGTAAGAGCTTAATGGATCTTACACTGATGTCTGGTAGCCATGTTTCCCTTTGTTGTGCACTTAGCTGGGTTAAGGACAAGTAAGGAAAAATGTATTTTGGTTAGGAAAGTGAGTGCTCTCTGCCCGGCTCTTCCAGGATAAGTTAGTTAGGGTTATTGTGAGTCTATCCGAAGCTCTGTTGCCTCAGACCAGATAGGCTGGCTGGTGTTTCATTTGGATTGTATTATTGCCTCTTTCCGATTAGCCAGACAGATACCTATAGAGAAACACTGGGTTTGCCAACTTGACAAAAAAGTGTGATCATCATCCAGTGCCTTTTCTATTTCTCAGAGTCAGAATCACTGAGCTGGGGAAGAAATGACAAAATTTGATGGAAGCATCAAGAAAGAAATGTGCATCTAAATTACAAATTGGTGTTATTTTTCAGTGCAAGCCCTTATGGTAAAAGCAAACACTTGACTGGACACACACACACTCTGTTGTTCAATCAGTATGTAACTAATGATGTCTCAGCTTTGCCACGGTGATTTCAACTCTTGCACACTGCCACCTATCTCTGCTCTTGGTCCATAATACATACAGCTACCTTCACCCCTGCTTCTCAGCACATTGTATTTTGGTGAACAGATGAAGTGCTTACACATTCATAGACTGAGACGCCACAAATTCAGTTGGGTTCTCTTGTAGCTCTAAGCAGATTTCTGCCCTCTGAGCCATGACATCCCCGGCTGGGGCTCTGAATGCTGATAGCAAGGCCTTTTATTATTAATCAGGAATTCATCTGAATTAATTTTTAGGGGGAAAGGGAGGGAGTTTAAAATCAGGGTTGGAATTTCACATCATAAATGAACAGAGATATGACAGAGGTTCTTTAGCAACAGTACTACTAAGCCCCATCAATGCTGCTACTGACCAATAGTTACACAATTAAATAACCAGAATAGTCATTCAGTAAAAGTTTTAAATCCAGAAGGAGCATTTATTCTCACTGTCCACAGTATATCATCATCATAAACGTTTGCTTTTGAGATCATGTATTTTCATGTTTATGAGCAGTGTGTATCTTGTGGGTTCATGGTAACATTGTTTGGTTTTGACTTAAAGCCCTCTTTTATAGCCACAATCCTTCAGAAGTTTGTGACCTTCTAGAAAATTCTCATTTGGGTTTAAATTTCTTGTGGTTGTTTTTAGCCAGTTGCTTATTTTTTTTCAAAAAAGATGATAATTTCGTTAAAGCATGTTATAATTTTGTTGGACCATTTTTTGGTTAGATCAGGGGTTCTCAACCCCCAACCTGAAGGCCAGATTCAGCCAACAGTGGGACACTCATAGGTCCAGAAATTGAATGGCAGGGGAGTGGTACCACCATTTCCCTGCTGCCATATTTCCAGACCCATGGGGAGCATCAGGCCCTGTGCATTCAACCCCAGCACACAGGGCCTGGAGGAGGTGACACCTGGCTGCTGGGGCCAGTCCCATGTGGGGGACCAAGAGTGCATGGTGCCAGGCCCTGGGGCCCAATTCTGGTGCATGGGGGTGGGAGAGAGTGATGCTCAGCCCCTAGGGCTCAATCCAGGCGCATGGGTCTCAGTCTGGCTCGTGGACTGGCCCTACACCGCTCCTCTGACTTACAGGGGCAAATGGTTGAGCATCACTGGGTTAGATCAATGTTAATGCATAGGGCCACATCCTCAGCCCAAAGGCTACTCTAAGATGTGTTGAAGGGAGACATCTCCCTTGCTGCTAGATAGCCCCAGTTTTGTCTGGGATATGTTCAAGCCCCAGCCAAGCTTGAACATATCTGAGCAACTGGAACTGTAACCCACAGTAATTATCTTGCTGTAGAAATTTTGTTTTTCAGTTGTTTGTTTTAGTGTTTTGGTTCTGTTAGAAACTGCTTATTTTAATATTTCAAACTGTCAATGTCTTAATTCTCAAGGAGGATGCATGTGAGACAAGAGCGTTTTTTAAGTAATACAGCTCTTTGTATATGGCAGTTGGTGAGCAACACTATCTGCTGTTCATCTTCTTTCAGTGCCATGATGTAAGCTCTTCAAAAGGTCTGCTTGAAGGAATGTCACTAAAAAATTGCTGCCTGTGCAAACCCCATTATAGAGAAGTCTTTGACAACTTCAGGCATGTTAGCTATTTTGTTCTGTATGTCTGCAAATGTATTGGCAGATTGTTAGGAAGTCTGGCTAGCTCCAGTTAAAAATGAACTTGTGTTCTACTTGGTACCACTGTATTTTCTTGCATATCACATGCCCCAAATAAGACACACATATTGTTTGGGAAAGCAGAATGAAGAAAAAGGATTTTTCCAAGGTTTGGAAATAGCTGAATTCTGGCTGCAGGGACCTGGGGCAGAACCTACTCCTCTGCATTGCACACTTTTTCTTTCCTGCTCAGCCAAAAAGCTAGAGGTATAAAACAGCTGCTGCTGAACTGGTAGTAGCTTTTGGCTGGCCAGCCAAAAGTTACCTCCAATTTGGCAATACCCGTGAGAGAGGTATATCTCTAGCTTTTGGCTGAGCCATAGGTTCTGCACCACCCCGTTGAAGCTGGAGAGAGCCAGCCCCAGCACCCATTCCTGCATCCTCATACCTCCATTTTGGCATGGAAATTGACTAGTGTAGCCTATAATGGCTCTTTCACTTAAAACACTCACCCCAATTTTGGATGGCTTTTTCTGGGGAAAAAGTTGTGTGGTATGTGAGTAAATACACTATTAGCCCCTCATTTTCATGAATACAAATTGTCACTATATATTTAATGAGATGACACTTCCAGTGCTAGTGTTGGAAAACCATAACCCCTTTCCACATCACAAGTCAATTGACTTTTTCTAATAGAGTCTCTCTTAAGAGACGTGCCCTACTGTGAACTTTGTGTAGAGTAAAGCATCTGCCGGTGTAATATGAATACTTTATTAACAACCCCCCAGCCACTGCTTTCCCAATTGTAGCAGTGTGGGGAGGGACAAATTTGAGATAAACCTCCAGTAATTAGATTCTATAATGGGAAAATTATAACACATTTTGTAAATGTTTCATATATAGAATCTAACTATTGGGTAGGGGTGCACTGATAAAGATTTTCTTGGCTAATACCGCCCCTACCTCCCCCCCAGGAAGAGCCTCCCACAGCTCCATCCTGCTCCTGGCCCTGGGTCCCATTCACTGCCCTAGCTGGGCAGAGCCCCAGCCTCTGCCCCTGCCTCACTCCCTTCATCACTGTGGGGGCCTCAATCTGTGCCCCAGTGCCCCTTACCCCCCACCCAGAA